ATTTCTTATGATATTTTTTTTTAAAAAATAATCTATGAATTTGAAGAAACAATTAATTTTTATATAAACTTTAATATATTTTATTCGATCTGTTTATTTATCATATTTCTGAAAGAATGTAATTGAAATAAGAAACTTCATGACATTTAGATCTATAAGCGCTTGAAACCTTTCGAATAATATTGATCTTTTTTATATTCGATTATAATATAATTATTTGCATCATATTTTTATTATATACTAATAAATTTATAAATTTAAATATTCTAATAATAATAAATCTATTTTAAATTGCTAAAATTAGTTAATAAAATATATTTTTCAATTATTATATTATTATTATTATATACAATTATATATATATACAATTATTATTATATACGATTAATTTTAATTAAATAAATAAAAAATGATTTTAAGAAAAGACAATAAATCTGTGATATTGTTATGATAATAATTTATTCTACTATAAAATTCGTATATATTTAACAAATAAAATTTTCCTAATTTCATGCAATTTAATAAAATACAGAATCCAATTTTTATTTAACAAAATAAAAAAAAATATAATAGAATTAATGATAGCAATTTTGTGCATATATTACATTTATTATATAAATTCAGTTATTTTTACTTTATATATATATATATATATTGTATCAATCTTTAAAGGGTTAGAAAGCTACGTCGTTGGAATTATATCAAATATTTTCCATTCTTGTATATATGACGTAACTAGTGACGCCAACAAATTGAAAAATCGATTAAACTCAAATTTACTATTTTGTAAATCTGTCAATTTTTTATATAAATTTATAATTAAATTAACACTATAGAATATTTTCACAGATGTATATGATATTTTAAATTCAAATACTTTTAGTTAAAAATAATTTTTTTCAATTTTCTTTAATTTTTTTAAAATTTTCTTCTTGATTATTTAAACATTTATATTTTATTTCGACGAATTTAAATATCACATATTGTGATATTTACATATTATGTATATCACTTCTAATTATATGGATTGTAATTAGCAGTATGATCTACGGCGATAGTATTCATTTATGCCGAAAATTTCACAAGAGCGAAATTAATTATATTAATATACACATAAATTTCAAGAGAAATATTAAGATCATGATCCATGTAGATTATTTTATATAAAATTCTCGATCCACTTATTTAAATTACAAACAATTTCTTATTAATTATGAATAAAATGGAATTATAATTCAGAATTAAATTGCTCAATAATGCGCAAAAAATTTTATTTTCAATATTTTCGTTAATTATTTTATTATTTTTTTAGTTTTATTCTTTATTTTAATCTTTTATAATTTTATATTATAACTTTATATCATTATAAAAAGTTACTGTATAATTAATACGCGTTAATATCATTTATTCTCATAGGTAACGGTTTTCATTAATATCATATGAGCTGTATCACGCAAAGATAGCCTGTAAATGCACCTTAATGTCAACGTAATACACTTCGTTGATAATGAACTGTGAAGGGAGCTAATGCAAGACAATTTCACAAATATATAACAGACTATAATGTAATATTTTTCACGAAATTTTTATGAAATACTTAGAAGTTAATACATCAAGAATATAATAAATTCTTATGATTGTTTCTAATTACATTGAAGAAATACATGCTTAAAAATAATATCTCAATTTAGGAAATTATTAAGTCAATTAATTATTATATGACATTTCGTTAGTTATAATCGGAAATCCAAGCAATTCTCTATAGATTGTGGTTGTCCATATCGATATTACGAACGGCTCTCTCTTCGACTCTTGTTATATTGAAATTGAATCGTTTCAGTCTTCAAGCATGCAATTACCCTTTAAGAGAGATTCTGTTTCTTCCCTCCGCACATTAATCGTAAATGGAAGCGAACAAGCAAAGTTCACCTCGTGGCTGACATTTGATAGTGCAGTTTTCACGCAGCGCGAATGCAATTTATACAATCGTTTAAGTCATTGTGTTAATTAAATCTTTCAAGATTTTTTTACGCATTTTTTATGTTCGGATTTTAAAGAATAAACTGTTATTTTGTTAGTATTTTAAATTTGGATATTTTAAAGTATTGTACTCTTTTATAAATATATATATGTATATATATATATATATATATATATATATATATATATATATAT